GCATTTTCCCTGCCAGCGCCAGGGGCGAGAAGGTGAATAATGCAAGCCCTGGGCACCCCGAGGCTCTGCTTTTCCCCCAGCACCAAATACAAACAGCAGGCTCCCTGCCTGTCTCAGTCTCCTTCCTTTGCTCTCTCTTCTCCTTTCCTCTTCTCTTCCTCTGTTAGACCTAACTCAGTCATTAGGAAGTGGGGGCAGCTCCTTGGGCAAACAACATACACAGTGGTGTAAGCTGTGTACGATGACTCCCTTCTGGTTGCTTGGGTCGGGATGCACTTCATACAACTGGGTGATGTGGTGTAAAACCGATGCGCCCACAGAATGGGCCTCCCGGTGTAAAACAGGCGTAAAACTTACTCTAGGTGCTTCGTTTCAGTGTCAGGGCTGCTCCCCTCCATTGACGGCTGCGGCAGCCCCGCGGAGTAGGCGTAGGGATTGCTCATCGTTCTCCTGAACTTAGAGACCAGAGTGGCAGCAACACCTCAGTGAGATACCTTGAGTGGGCGGGCTGACTACACGTCGGCTGTCAACACCTCCTAATTTCTTTCCATTGATTGTTTTTTTCAAAATAGGACTCATCATGGAGAGGCTGAGACATCTCAGCTGTTCAGACTGAGTCTTGCTTTCCATTGTAAGCCCTGTTTTTCTTCCTGCTGTTTCACAATTCCCTCCCCACTCTAGAAAAAAAAGAAATTAAAAAAAAAAAAAAGAAGATAAGATATCACCCCTCACATCGAGCCTCTGTGGATGGTGGCTAGTAGATCATTTTTTCCACCAACACGAGATGAGGGGACAGCAAGCTTGGAGCAAGGAACTGCCTATTGTCCTCGGACACGTGTTGCCCTCCTCCCTAGTGAAAAGAAAATAACCGAGGAGATGAGTTCAGCTGTTCGCAGGTTAGAAAGCTGCAGTGGTGGTGAAAGTGTTTTAATAAGAAACCCTGCTGCAGGCTCTTAAGAAATCTCTGTTTTTGTTGTGGTTTTTCTGTGGGGCCATTGCCAGCTTGCACAGTTGTGACCAGACCTTGTCAAGTCGCCGTGCTCATAATGGGACATTTTTACTGTCCAGTCGCTTGCTGTAGCCTCAAAATACCTCCCTGCCATATGCAGCAGTGGTTTCAAACTCTTGTCCTGTGACATCTGGGACATGGGTAGCCCTGGGGGCCTCTGCACCCACCCCACAGGCCAGGTGAGGGGAAGATAGAGTTGTGACCATTAGATTTAGGGGTTCGTGGGGTAAATGAGAATCTAATTTCACAAAAGCAAGAGAATCAAAGGACCCCCCTGCTCGGCTGAAGGCACAACACTTTACATGTGTGCGGTCCTATTGAACTCAATGCCAAAGAGACTGGCCCAGCCTACATCTAAAGGCTTCACTCAAGAAAAATCTGTCCCTGTCTTAAAAGCAGAGAGAGCAAGGAAAAGCGACTGCAGTCTGAGCAGCTTGAATATCATTTTGCTCTATTTCCAGGCAGGTCATAGGTAGATGATTAGTCAAATTCCAGACATCCTCTTCCTTGTTGTCTGGAGGTTCAACGGGGGATTAGCTTTTTGCTTCTGATGTCCAGCTTCTAAAAACTGCCCGGCATCATCCACATGAAAATAAATAACTCTATTTGTATCCCAGCTCGCATGTAATGGAGCCGGATATTTAAAAAAAAAACCAAACCACCCAACCAACACACCACACAGAGCCCCCCCCAAAAGCAAGCCCTGCAGCAGCTCTTGTTGCTACCGAGGAAGAAATTTGCAGCAGTCCCTGCTAGCTCTCTGCTGAGCCCTTCTCCTCGCCGGCGGTGATAGCTCTCCCTGCTGAGGAGTTTAATCAACCCTCCCACATGCAGGCTGTTCTGTCCTGGCCAGGCAGCCACTACGGCGTGGGGGACCCCCCACACAGCTCGAACGAGGTGGTGTGGAGGCAGTGGAGCCACGACAGGTTATTCAAGGGCAGAGATCCTCAAAGGGCACCCCAGCATCCATTTACCCCTTGTGAACTTTAAACACGTAAAGTGGTCATGGACATTCGGGACCTAGCTGCCATCAGCTCCCTCTAAGCAGATAAAAGGACTTCCAGAAGCTGGTTTGGCCATCCTAAATCCTCAGCTTTCCCCTTGCTGACCACCAAGGGGACCAGGGCTACAGTTTTCCTTTGGCCATAGCCCTCTGGAGCAAGGTGAGATGGACCCAGGCTCTTTTAAAACCCTTTTTTGGAACCTCCTACAGGAGTCTCAGTGCAGAGGTAGATATTACAGTAGTAGCTCCACCCTGCCAGAGGGTTGGAGCTGAATTGCCATCACGTGAAATGGCTGGTACGCTGCTGGCGGGCCAGGATGGAGAATGAGGAGAATTCTAAGAGCGTCGTGAGGAATTTGGGGTGGGACAAGACTAGCATGGCTGGAGCATCTAAGGTAAAGTCCTGTTAAGGTCTCTGGCGGTGGAAATGAGCGAAGGTATGCGCTGCATTTCCACTTCCTCCCACTTGAGCTCCAAAATTGGGACTGAGCCACTTCAGACTGGGTTTGAGGGACTCCCAGGACACTCCTTATCTCTGCACTTATGCCACCTCAGATGGCCTGGGCTTTGGAGCTGGCATGGCTCTGACAAAATCCCCACCTGTGGGGAAATCTTCCCCTTCTTCTTCTGGATCAGTGCAAAGTCTCGCTAATCCCTTGCCACCTAAGAGCATCTTGACACGCTGCCCTCTCATAGGACCTTTCATTTTGTGTTTGAGTTACCTGTCTCTGTTACAGGAGGAGCAGAGGAGCTATTGCTATTTAAGGAAGCCATGGAGGACCCTCGGTCCTCTTTGTGCCCCGGTGCTTCCCGACCAACATCCGCATCGCTGAGCCCAAAGTCAGGTTCAGGGGTGTAGCTAGACAAGCTGGGAGGTGTTGTCCGATGCCCACTAGAGAAGAACATTTGGTGGGCTGCCTGCTGCTCAGTTCTGGTAGCTGATCCTCGTACCCAGCCGCTTGGGATGATGGTGCATACATGAGCGCTGGTGCGAGACCGTGTGTTTCAGAGCTGCATGAGGCTCACAGCCACCCAGAGAGTCTAAGGGAGCATGTGTGACGCTGTGAGCTGAGGCCACTGGTACGCCGGTGGGTGTGAGAAAGGAAGAGAGAGGGGGAGAGTGAAGGAGAACACATGGGCGCCCAGGGATGTGTGAATGAGACAAAATTTGCACGTCGCTGTGCGTGCGTGTGAGCGGCTCCAACAGAAGCCTGCGCGTAGCATAGGGAAAGCAGGAAAGATGCTTGGGATTCAGAGGGAACGCCTGCCGAGCGCCTGCGGTGCATGACGGTGCAGGAATGTATCAGTGGATACGAGCCTGCACAAAGATGGTGCAGAAAACCCTCCTGGTGGTGCCTGGAGTCTGCTTTTGCGAGTGTGCGACTCCGTACATATGGGAGAGGGTGTGCGTATGGGTGTTTTTTCAATAGGATATGACTCTTCCTTGAACTCACCTGTTAGCAGCCTTCCCCTCCCCATCCCTCCTCCACCCCCA